ATAAAGATGCTGTACTAAACTTTTGCAGTATCTTCTACCTTCCTGTCTGGATATCACAGTTCAATTGACTGGCTTTCAGAGCAGAAAAACATGGAACAAAAACACTGCTCAAAGCATTGTTTACTGTCAAAGACAAAACACACCTTAGATCTATTAAGAATTTACTGTTAACTGTGAGCCTGTTTCTATAATTGAGATTTTAAGAGTCTCGCTATTAGTCCAGATCTACTTATTACAGAGAAAGAGAGAACAACAGTGACTCAGCAATGTTACCCCACACTGCTCAGATCCTGCTCCTCTCCCTGCATTACACTCATCCATCCCCTCCCTGCTCCTCCCAAGGCTGATGGTTTCACCTTGGTAGGGGGTGGGTTATGACAGCTCACCTGCACCTCCAAGTCCTTTGGGGCTTTTTTTTTGCCTGCAACTCCACAGCTTCTGAATTTATGATATAATTGTGCCTTTTATGCATGTTTGATACTCTTTCTTTGACAATTTCCTTGTTTGACTTCCAGTCACCTGGTAGCAGCGATCAGGCTCAGCCAGAAGCCCGACCTGCCCTGGTGCTGAGGCAACTCTGGGGCTCAGGTGAGAACTGAAGTCACCAAGTCAGGGGCAGATGCAGCCCTGTCACCAGCAGGCAAGTCCACAGTGACAAGGCAGGTCTGAGTTAGTCAGGCCCACACTCAGGGTAAAGTTCAGTTTTACCTGGGCTGAGGACAGGGCTGAGAACGTCCCTCGGCGTGCTCTGCTGAGGGAGGTGAGGGCTGGCTGCCATGAGCTGCTGAAAATGGTAATAACTAACAGACTTTGATCCCAATATCTTTTGAAATGCAAAGCAGGCACTTCAGCCATCAGCATTTCCAGTGTTTCATAAGCCTTGGCAATGTAAGGGAGTTTCGTATCTTTACGTTCATGTAATTAAAACTTACTGAGTGTGACGAAGCATTTTTTGTACCATTTTTAAACTACAACAAAAGACATTGAAATGCCTCTGGAAATCACAGCTAAAGCTTGAGAGAGGAAGGAGGACCTACCTTATTAGCTTTTTCTTTTACTCCCCAATTCCTCAAAGTGGGGGAAAATATGTCCAAAACATGCAACCATATTTACATATCAAGATTTAATTACACAAATTAAGGTAGTGCTATGTTGAAGCCTATTTTTGTATTACATTCCCTACCCCTACTTTTAGAGGGGAATACTTTGATAATATCTCTTAACCTTCAAGAGAACAAATGGTGAACAACCACTTGCCAGGTTTCATGAATCTGAGAATAGAAGAATAATTTGTTACACAAATATACCTGATTATTTTTAGTCCCTAGATGAAGAAAAATGAAACTTCAAACCTAAAACTACAGCTAGGCAAACTAAAAGAGTTTGACTTATCTTGAAGCAAAGCTGGGATTGGGGTTATTTAAAATAGCTGGACATGTTGGATAGGGCAAAGTTTGGCAAAGTTTATTTTCCTAGCTTGATTTCCAGGACTGACTTTCACAAGAAAGCAACATGAGTATATATTTCTACCCTGGGCTTGTTCTGCATCCTTTTTAGGCACATTTAGCCTTGAGAGGAATGTGTGTACTCCAGGCTCAAGCAGTGCTTGCTGGTCTCAGGGGACTGGAGCCTTGCAACTCAAGACTTGAGCAAGCACGTGACTGGCTGAGGTTGCAATGCATGCAAAGGCATTTTGATCCTTTCCTCTCCACAGAGATCAAGAGTCATGTCCAAGGCTAGAAGTCATTATATCAACGAGGATGATCCTTGAGTCAGGACAGAGAGCTTGGTCTGTAGGGTTAGCAATTCAACTGATCTTTCAAAAAGATCACCAATTCCCTGAAGATTTTGAGAAGTAATAAACAATTCCTAAGTGTAACAAAACTGTTCAAATGTACTGGTCTCAGAAATTTTGAAATATTCTTTGTTGTTCAACCAAAAGGAACTTAGATGCTGGGCACTCTGCCTTCAGGATTGAGTCCAAATTTCCCATCCTAGGAGGGCTTAATTTTGTGGCATCATCCTCCTTTATAACACAAATTTGTGTTTTATAACACAAATTACTTGAAAAGTGTTTCCTTTCCACCTGGAGTGAACCTGTACAAAGCAGCAGCTCTGGTTTTACCTCAGGGCATGACCTCACAACATAAAAGCCTTCACTTGTCAATATTTAATTCAACATTTACTAAATGGTACATAGATGTTAGGTTGATTTCACTGGTAATAACTTTGTAAAGATTTAACTAGCTTTACTCTACATGGAGGGTAATGTTGGAAATAACCCTAACATAATAAAAACCATTAAACTCATGGCTCATAAGATTTTTTCTGAATGATGACACACCAGACTTGCATGTGTACATAAGAAAAAGTGGTTAAAACAACACTAATGGCCAACACAGCAAAGAGTAATTATTAACCACTTTTTCTTGCAAAATAGCTGGAAAATACTTTGCTGGAGCTTATCCTATGAACTGTCATATAAAATCAACAAAAAACTATTTTAAAATATTCAATATTCTTGTTCTGTTCCCCCCAGATATGTTTGATCTCCTTGTATAGAAACATAAGGATTTGGAAATTTTTGATTTTTAAAATGAAACAACTACTAAATAAAAATGGTCAGTGTCCTGCTTTTCTCTCAAAACTGTGGTTTTAGCAGTGCAGGAAGCAGTGCATTTCATCAATGACATACAGCCATAAAAAGACACCAAACTCCATTTTTGGTGGTTTGACTAAGTGAGAAGCTAGATTTTGTCTCTTTCACTAGCAAAGTATTTATGAATATTGTTAATTTTCCTATGGAATTAGCTTAAAACTAAACTGTATGCTACTCCTTTCCTAGCTCAGAACATTTAGATGTAGATGTAGATGTAGATCCAAAATTTTAGCATCAGTTTGAGCCTGCATTTCCAAAGGGACCTATCCATCTTTATGTGTGAATGAGAATTCACACACATAGTTATCTGCTTATCACATTTTCTCTAGCATTTGTGTTTCCAACTTCCTAACAATGAAAAAAAGCATTGCAAGCAGCAAATTTTCACAGCCTTCTGTTTGAATAGTCACTCTGTAAGTTTTTAACATAGGCTTGTTTGCAATATTTTAATTTTTCTGTTTTGCTTATGATTTCTTTCTTGGGTGATTTCTGACATAGAAGTTCATGTTTTGGTTGTGCTATTTCTTGGTCATGTCTGTGTAAGTTGCCCTTGAGATGTTTTCTTTGTATTCTTGATCAAGATGAAACAGGGCAAACAAGTAAACCTGTATCTATAGTTTGGGAAAACTTGGATCAAAGAGGTAGTTTTTTTTCGTTTGAAAGGATTAGTTTTATCATAGAATGGGCTTCAGTGATTGAATTAATGCTCTTTGAGCATGCATATGTGTCCAAAGCGTACATAACTATGTAAAACTTGTTTTATAATGTAGCAGTACCAGCTTTATAGCCCTTCTTGTTTATTTTCCTGTCCTTATGCCAGTCATGGGACATGCTGAGCAACAAGCCCTCTCCAGTAGTGACAGATGCTACTAGGAAGTAGAGCATCTTGGTTTTAGTTTTCATAACGTAATCACCTTGGGTTAATTTTAAAGTTGTAAAAGTTTCAGTTAAAATGCAGATATTTTGAAATGAAAATTAAACATATGCAAGTCTGGAAGGCATCATCTCTCACTTGTAGCTGAGATAGAAGGTTTGTTTGAAACTCACCTGTCTGCTCCCTCATTCTGACTCCAGAGAATAAATCTATTTTCTTTTAGCCACCATGTTACACAGAGCTAAAATACAAAACTGTATTTCCTGTTAATTGTAAGATATTGGATTCCAAGGCTAAAGACACTTTTACATAAAATATGCTAGGGGATCTTAAGGAGAATTTCTTTCCTGTTGCTCAGAAGTGGTGTTTTCTTTGATTGGCATCTTGCAACTGGAGAAGGATGTCTATGTTAACCTGAAGAAAATCTGATGCTAATATCTTTTGAGAACCTCAGCAAGGTTTATGTAACAGGGTCAGAGGTGATCCGTAGAAGCTGCCAGAACAATCACAATTTGAAATACAAACCAAGTACCACATGCTCAGTAATCCCACTTTCCCCAAAAACAAGGTTACTTCAAATCCCAGCCAGAGTTTACAGTTTCAGCCAACTCACCTCTGTACAGCGGTTTCACTACCTAACATATCTTGGATACCTTAACATCTGCAAATTTAGGAATAATCCAACTAAATTACCTATCAAGGTCATTAAAAAAATGCTGATGAGACTGATTTAACGTACCTTGAATTTTACAAGAGAGCAATACATGTGGGATCAGGGAAAAGCCAAAGAGGATAGCACCTTTTTACAATGGAGTGTTCTTATCTCTCTTAGCTTTGGGATGTAAGGAATTTATAACAAAGTCAAAACTGCTACACCCTTGTCCTGATCTATATTTAGTTCAATTTTTAAACTAACACTGATATGGAGCACCTCTCTATGGCAGAAAGCCAGAACAGCAGACAAGGTAAATCTTTTTTATAGACTACTGGGAGGTTAATTGGTGTACAGTATATTCTGTACCTTCTATCATCTTGCAAAGGGGTGAATCCTCACAAGTACCACACACCATCTCACATGCTGAGCTAGTGGCCACTGTGAAAAGCTATTTACAGCACATGGAATGCTGTGGGTGTTCCTCAGTGGAGCCACTTGTAATCAGGTAAAAGTATAAGAATGCAGGTCCTAGCCTTAGGCACAGGCATTTCAAATATCTAATGGTTCAAATTCGGGAAGCAAAGTTTTTTTACAGTTTGTGGTATCTGAAACAAAGACCTCTTGTAGGGTGTCACAGCCATACAAGGCAGTTTGTTTTCTACTGGGCAAAAAAGAGACATTGCATGAATTCCAGCTGAAGCGTCATACTATTCTTTGTTTTTATAGTTAATTATTTATTACTTCTGAAATGGTATAAAAGAGTTAAATCTGGCTTTACATTTAACTCAATGACTTAGTTGTCCCTATTTTAGAGAAGAAGTCAGCAGCAGCAATTCTGAGGAGGGTTGCTTCTGAGCTGCACTGAACTTCACTGGAAGAGAAGAGTACTTCAGATAAGTGGTGAGTAGCATCTAAAAATTTGACTTAACACTTTGCAGCAAATCTAACAATGTTCTCAAGGGGTTGACTTGGAGAGGGAAGAATAGATTTATCTTGGTATAAACCAATGTTTTGAAATTCATAAACAAATAATTTCCTATGCTATCCAAGTACTCAGCTTCTACGTAACTAGTCATTAACTCTGAAATCTGTCTTCCTCTCCTAGTGTAACACATTTCTATGATAAATAGCTTTAATTTTCACCAGATTTTTTTGGAATAAAATCCACTCAAAACTCAACAACAACCCACAACAAAACACTTCACTTTGAGATAGAAACTCAGTCTCTCTACTACTCAGTATAAGAGATCAGATTGTGACTTGTACGAAGTATTGAAATGCAAATATAATAATTCATCATTTTGCAAAGGCACTTTAGGATGGATACTCCAGGTACGGGAAAAAAAGACATTTTTTTTCCCCACTCAATTAACTAATTACTTACGAGGCACATATTTCTGGGAGCTGAGGTGTCTACAGTATTTGAGAATAACCTTTTCTAAATAGTTCAGCACCATAGGAATGCTCTGTGTCTAATTAAAGTCATACTCCATCTGATTCCGTCAATGTTATTCTAATGCTGAGACTCCTAGATAGTTTTCATAAACAATACAGGAAACATTGACTTGTACAGTATCACTAGAGTCAGACTAGATCTAGATTAACAAAACCACTTGAGAAGAAAACAATCCCTTCAGTTTTTAATGGAGTTCCATTGTACCTTTTTTAACCAGGTAGTTATGTCACATACCAGGATCTAATAGTCTGTTACTGCTTTGAGGACACAGACACTCAGAATGTGTTCTTCACTTTGGATGCTCTAATTAATCAATCCTTTAATTAATCGATGGTGGATTTCTTCTATGTGAGTGTGTATGTGTGATTTATGGTAGCAGGGAGAGGAGAACATTCATTGTAGTACACACCACAAACCAGGGGCAGAGGCATCTGTCTTGAAGCACAGGCAAGTCCTCAGCTTGCATGTCTTACACTGCAAGAACAGCTCCATTTCTGAAAGGCACAAGCACTCAGCCATAGAAAACTTCTGCTATAGCTGAGTAGAAAAAAGATAGCAGCACACAAGCTATGGAATAAGAGTGAGATGCAAAACTTTTCTCCTCCATGCTCTTTTCCCAGAGTTTTAGAGCTGAATAAAAAAAAAAGTAACAAAAACAAAACCAAAACAAAACAAAACAAAAAAGGTATTTTGAAACATGGACTTATTTCCAGTACAAAGCATAGCAAACCAAAGTAATTAAGGTGGACAATTTTGCCTCCCAAAGGCAAAAATTATTAGATGTCAGTCTATCATGGACAATGAGATTTACTGAGTCTGTTTGGGTTATTTTTACGCCAGTATTTTCCAAAGCTTTGCCATTCACACCTTTCTGTGGTGCTGTCTCTCTTGGTGCTTTTTTCTGCTTTTAAAAGAAAGAAAACTATATTGTGCTACAGTTGAGAGAGATGTGTCCTGAGGGGTATAAAGCCCTTTCCATCATACTAGAGGTCATACTAGTTTATAATTACATGTGAGTTTTGTCAGCTGGAGGCTGCTCTTCCACATTTCTCCTGTCCATAGCGGTGCAATGTTGCCACAGACATTATTTTTCCATCGAGATTGTACTTGGGAGACAGAAAGGGAAACTGTGCATGCCCATCATGAGGAATTTGTGACAGGAGAATCTTTGATATCACAGATAAACTGCCTGAAGCTTGTTTGTGTTTTGCATTGGGTGGGGTGACCAGGGCCTTGGTGTTGGTCCAAGCTCATCTGATGAAGATGGCAAATGGGCCCTCAATGGCTACTGAGCCTTGTGCTCAGACTGGACAACTACAATTGATCCAGACCAGGTTTTATACACTTCTTAGTCTGGGTTGGTTTTTTAACATCTGTGTCCTTTAATTCAGCTTTTCTGAGGTGATCATCTCCTTGGTGATTTCATCATCTAACTTAGCAAATATGGCTGTTTAGAATCTTAGTCCACCTGAACTGCTCCCTTTGCATATTTGCTTTTTCTGAACAGCTTTCTAACAGCTTTTATTTTTCCTGACTTGCAGTCAGTGCGTGAAAGTTGAATGTTCAATAGAAGTTCAAAATGAAACCTGGATTACAGTAGGTTTATTCATACCTCTCCCAAGTCAGTTTGCTGCGCCAGTCATAATGTTCCTTTTTTGTGAGCTGCTGAGCCTTCCTTGCCAAAGCTAACAATTCACAGGACTCAGCTGGATTCCATGTCCTACCAGTGAACTCAACCCATACATCACCAAATAAACTGTTGGATAAATAGATAAGGAAACTGTAGCTGAAATGGAAGATGCCCTGGGCCTGACATAAATGAGCCTTTCCTGATTTGTGAGTCACCTCCTGACTAACTGTACAAGCCATGGAACAGAAAAATCTAATCTGCTATGACAAAGAAAAATAACGAATTAATATCTTTGGATTGACAACTTTAGCAACTTTACCTGGTACTAGCAATATGAACTTCAGAGGGAAGGAATACTTTTTCACATTATCTACTAATTTTTTTCAGTAAGCAATAAACAACAGCATCAGAGCAAATACGATCTTTTCATTCCCCTAAGTGGATCATCTCTTCCTTAGATTTTTTCAAATTCTAATTTCTTATTTTTTGCATTAACTAGAATGTCTGTTGTGGATATGGTAACATTCCTTTTGCTACAGTCAGCTGATACCTTAACAAAGTAAAAGAGAGTTACCTGAAATATAGGAAGGATAGCTCAATCTCAACACTTCAGCTGATGGTGCATTGCTAGCAATTAAACTTTCCAGACACAACAAACATATCTTAAAATGTTTTCAAGATGTTCTGAAAAAAATTCAGCCTCATAAAAATAAGTTTAGTGAGGGAAGGCAGACACAAGTTATCCCTGCTAGTGGCTTAGCTGTGAGGTTGTGTCTCCTTAGATGTTTAGCAGATTGTTTCCAATTTTGCTGTTTGTGTTTCAGTGCTATGACCCATATACTCTTTATCTTGTCAGCTCTTGAATTCCAGTTTGATGATGCTTTGTTTGTGCTCTGCCAGAACCTTCATTAATTTAATTATCTAAATTATCCATATATGAAATCTGTATGGGATGTGGGACCTTCAGTGAACAGGTCATGACATTATTTTTCATATACTTGTTCAATGTGGCATGGGACAGGAGAACTGTTTGATGAGACTAAGCCTCTTTCCTATAAAGTGAAATACATTTCCCTGAAAGCCCTTTTTGAAGAACAGTTTAGAGGGAATTGACTAAGGTCCCTTGAAGAAGAGGAAAAGGAGTTGTTTGCAGGTTGTTAGTATTGACTGCACTGGTAAAGAGAGAGGGAAGAACTTCACTTTTCTGGCTTTAATGCTTCTAGGATGTTGCTACCTCTCTGGTTTCTCTTACTTAAAAGCTCAGACTGGTTGCTTGGAACCATCTGATATAATGGTCAATGTCTCACAGAAGTGATTCCATCCTAAAACCCTCTTGTAAGTGTGATGGCCTCAACAATCCAGTGTGCTGCTTCACCAAACTGCCTGTCACTGCCCATGCCTCATGGCTCACTGTCTTGTAGACTCCTGTCTGTAAGACAACTTGTATTCAGGACTGGACCTATCACTACCATAATGGCCACGTAAGCAAAAGTCTTGAAAGGCACTCTCATCTCAAGAAGTTGAAGCAGAATAACACACTAATCCATGTTCTAAATTAATTGAACAAACTGGCAGACTGCCCAAGATCATACAATGAAGCACCATGTAAATATCAGATTGTCTCTGAAACCAGTTTAGTTTCTTCATAAATTAAGATTAAAATGCTCTTTAACATTATTTAAGTACATATGGTGACGTACAGGCAAGTATTTGCTTGAGAGAACAGTAAATAAATGGACTCCTCCTTTGCAAATGTGCAATGACCTAACTAGTATAGGTCTAATAATCTTTAGAATCACACCAACAATTAATCCAATGCCCTGGCTGGAATCCAGCCATAGTAATGTAGTTCCACCTGACTGACTAAACTTCTTTTGTAGTTGCAGTGGGTCTGATGCTCCTACTCTAATAGAGACATTATATCTACTAAAGAACCTGTATCTTTTTTGCCTCCTGAACAGTAGCATAATTTCTCTTCTTTTCTCCCTCAGCTATTATTTCACAAGGTAACAGAATGGAGAGCAAACAGCAAAGCAACGGCATGAGGAAAGAAAATAAAGCAGTAAAGAAAAAAGTGGTGAGTGAATTCATCAAATTTTCTGTCAAGGCATTTGTTTGTTATTTATTGACTGGAGGTAGAAAATAATTATAAAATAATTATTTGGAACCTATATGAATACTTACTCTTTTTTGAGTAGCATATGTTTAGTTTCTGTAACTAACCAACAGTGATTGGAAAGGGTCAAAAATTGTGAGTGTGTTAAGATGAGAAATTATGCACATATTAATCACACGTAGCCATGGCATTTGTATTTGAGTATGAACTGAACGACTTGCACCCATTTAACATGAAACAAAACAAAATACAGGTGTCTTATTCATCTCAAATACACTCTATATATTCTGGTGACTTGATTCTCTTAACTTGACTTTTTTTTTTTTGACTCTTACAACAATTCAAAGGGATGGTAAATGTTGTCCAGATCCTCTATCAACATGTACAATAATTGCACACACTCATGAGTATCCTCTGGCTTTCTATTCAAACACCAGTCATCTTGATTTGAGCCAATAACAACTCGAAGCTGCTGCATCATAAACTGTTTTCCAGCCTGTATTGCTCAGTGGCATTACTTACTATGACTCTGAGAGCTCTAAGATAGTTCTGAGGCATGTAACATATCAGAAGTGAAAACAGCTCAGATTTACACCAATATCAGCTACAGTCACTTGGGGACAATTCCCAGATGCACTTAATACTCATCATTGCCATCTAGAAGGTGTCATTTAACTCTTAGCAGTTCAAAATTCTGTGTTTGCAAGTAAGTACCTTCAAATATAATAGCTGAAAGCTTTTATCTTCCCCAGGTGGCATGTCTAATCCCCATCCTTAACACAGCAGTAGTGTGGCGTGTCAGATCTAAACCTCCTAAGGCTGTGGAAGCATCCTTAACATCTTAATTGGCCGCAAGTCTTGTGGTACCCTCACTTTCCAGCCTCGGCAGCACGGGAAGTCTTCCCCACCTTAGTCTAGAGTCTTGCTCACAGAAAGGCTGCCCGGATCTCCAGTCGGGACGGCGGCAGGGGCCCCTGCAAGCCGTGGTCCCCCAGCCCCACTGGCACTCGGCGGCGGGGCCGCGATGGGCCCCGAGTCGTGACAGTCCCCTGCCCGACGTGCTCTGCTGGGCAAATCCCCGCGGAGGGACGGGGCCTGTCGGGCAGCCCCAGGCACGGCGGCGGGCGGGCACACTCTCTAAGTTATGTGCGAGCACGCACAGAGCGAGCTCGTGTTCCCCATCGCTCGAGTCCTGCCCGCAGCCCCGGGCACCGGCTCTGTCTCCTCCCGAGAGCCGCCTCCTCCCGCGGCCGGGACAGGGACCGGGACCGGGACAGGAGCAGGGACAGGAGCAGGGACAGGAGCAGGGGCAGGAGCAGGGACAGGAGCAGGGACAGGGACGGGAGCAGGAGCAGGGGCAGGGACAGGGACAGGAAGAGGGACAGGGGCAGGGACAGGAGCAGGGACAGGGACGGGAGCAGGAGCAGGGACAGGGACAGGAGCAGGAGCAGGGGCAGGGGCAGGGACAGGAGCAGGGGTAGGGACAGGGACAGGGACAGGAACGGGGACAGGAGCAGGGGCAGGGGCAGAGACACGGACAGGGGCAGGGGCAGGAGCAGGGGCAGGGACAAGTAACGCGGGGCAGCTTTCCGTGCTGCGGGAATGCCCGCAGCCCTGAGCGCGGAGCGGCGCGGAAGCTCGGCCTGTGATGCCCAGCCTCGGGGAGGATTAACGGGAGAGGGGGTGATTGCGATCCTCTCTGGCGGGGTGGGGAGGGTGGTGCGCGGAGGCTGAGGGAGCCGGAGGCTTCCCCGAGAGCCGGGCGGAGCTCGGGTTGCGCAGCCCTTCCCCGCTCGGGAAGTTGTGCCGGTGCAGGGAGGCCGGCGGGCAGAGCTGAACACTCCGCACCGCCGGGCCGGGCCCCGGGCACGGGCGGGGGTCAGCGCGGGGCCGGTGCGTGCCGGGCCGGGGGCAACCGCGGCAGCGGGGGAAGCGCGGCCGGCGAGGGCTGGGCAAGGCGAGGGCTCTGCTGCTGCTTCCTCGCTGCTGCCCAGGACCACCCTGTTGGCAAGGGCAGAGCCAGGGAGAGAGGGACGGAGGTTTCCATTCATCGCCCGCAGCCCCGAGGGCAGAGCTGCCGGAGGGACCGGGAGCTCGGGCACCTGCCGGACCTGGGACTCCCCAGCACGGAGCTCCAGAGTCCAGCTTTCCTGTGCCAATTAGCAATATCTATTAAAAAATATTAAACTTCCTTATGCATGCATGCAATGTTTACCACTAACAATTGTGCTTAATTTTAGTCTGAGGAGGGGGCTATAACCAAGGTACAATACTCTAAACTGTGTTTTGAAAACTGAAGTGCAAACTGTCATGGAGTAAATGGAAAAAAAAAAAAAAAAAAGAAAGAAAATTGAGATTCATGGTAGCCAGCGCAAATATTTCACTACTCACTGAACAAGGACTGGAGCTGAGAAAAGCATCTGTAGACCACAATGCACTAGGATCTGTGATTAGACCGAAAATGTGGGCTTTCACAAGTAAGCAGTCCTCGGGTATCTGCAGGTCTTTGCTGTGACTGCCATGCAGCTCTCCTGGCTGAACTCATTGCTGTGGTGATGGTGACACGCTCCTGCCCCTGGGCTGGCAGCAGCGACGCATGAGCACACGCACGGCCGTGAAGCCAAGGAACACCTATGAAGGAGGCGTGGTCGCCTTCTTGTTTCCTGGCCATTTTAAAAGACACTGGGGGTTGTGTTTATCTTTCCTGTCCTTTTACTAATGTTGCCACAGGGTAAATTTTTTTTTGAGCAACAGTTTGATTTTTTTTTTTTTTTTTGCATTCTTGCTTCATTGTGCTTTTGTCTCTATCTGGTGTTGCTGAAACCTGAGCAAATATTTAAAATAGTGAATTAAGAGACAGGACATGGAGAAGTTGAAGTCCATGTTCCAAGTTCCAAAACCTCTGAACTGAGTGAGTCTGAAGTTTTCTGCAGCAGCCTGTATACCTAAAAACTCCATGGTATTGAATAAGTTTCTAAACCCAGTTATCACAGTGTGAGATTTTCTAAGCACTTCTATGATTTGCCCTGCAGTATCTTCCACTCAGCCTCACATGCATATAATTTGCCTGTACTGAAATTTTTGTGCATTTATTGATGTTTTTAATAACCATTAGGCTATATGTTCCAAATAATTTTGATTGCAGGATTTTTCTGATGTGTCTAATGTTGTTGAAGTAGAGCCCTTTAGAAATATTTCATCAAGATTACTGCATAACACTTGGGAACTCACTGTTTGTGAACCCTTTGGGAGCAGCCTGGTAGACCACCAGAAATATTTTCCCCAACATCATTCATTCAGAGTAGTAGCAATTTCTTCTAAGTGCAGGAATGTTTGTGCATAGCAGAGAAATAATGAGCACCCAATATGAGGTGTTATCATCAGAAGTTAAATAAAGCCTTATGTCAAGTTTCTACATTTTGTTAACAAAGTAATGGTGCAAACTCTGAGTGTGTGGGGGGCAGGCTCATTTTAAGAAGCTGGCTAATATCAATAAATTGTGTTTGGCTTATGTAATGATCTCAACGGGATATATTTCATACACAAGGCTTTTCACCCCCTGCACACTTCCTCCTGACCTGACCAAAAGCAGGCTGGTTAATGAACTGTGTAATCTCTTAAAAGGTTCCCACATCATGTGGAAGAAGTTAAAAACACTCAGCCGTCCTGCAGAGTGCATTTTGAATGCTCAGAGTTGGCAGATACGAGCGTGGCAGACCCCACATGTGCTGATTGCACACCCTGCTCCCCACCCTGGCACTGGGCATCTCATCCCTCCTGCAGAGGTCACAGAGCCCGTGACAGCAGTGTGGCACAGGAGCTCTGGCACATGCCAAAGCCACGGCGTGTTCACCTGCCCTGCTGTGCCCACAAGGCTGGTGGAGCTCGTTCCAGTCCCCTGTCACTGCAGCTGAGCCGTGTGCCAGCTACACAAACTCCTCCGTGCTCAGGACCTGCATTTTCCAAAGGGAACACACAACTTTGTGCAGCTGACAGAACGTATTCACTCATTAATTTGGTGTGGTCAGTGATATAACTGAAGCTGAGTTTCTTAGGCCTGCTTAAGCAGGTCTTCCTCCTTTTGGAAGGATTGAGGCTTCAGTGAGTGAGGAGGCTGGGCATAAAGAGCAGTGAGCTGTGCCTGAAATTCTATATTCTTATCATAGCTGGTTTTTTAAATTGAAAACACATTAAAAATACGTCCATTTCAACACATTCAGAGTTGTCTTTCATTATCTACACAATGACATTTGCAATTGACCAGCCACCCAAACAGTTACTTCAATGTCTCTTGGGAATGGCTGGGAATGGTCTCTTCTGCCATACTCTGTGATCCAGCAGAAGTGAATGGCAGAAAGTAATGCTGGGGAAGTTGGAAAGGAATGCAAATGCAAAATCTCTCAAATCAAAGCAGCTCTACCTTTTATTCAACAGCTGATGTGGAAGCAGAAATTGCTGATTTGGGCTAAAAAGAGTATGAGGAGGATGAGGGGAGGAGACCTGAGGAGGCAGAAGTACAGGTGTGCCACTGGGAAAGAGGGCACTGGAGAGTGTGTGTGGCAACAAGTTACTGTTGGAAACTTGCATTTGGATTACAAAACCTAGTTTGTAGGCATCATTTTGATGTTGTTGGTCACAATTTCACTAATCCTTTAGGTCGGGTGTGGGGGGTGTGCACATCATCTCATGAGTTTTCAGCCAAGTCAGATCTACCCACAGACCTGTTGTATCACATATTAGCTGTACCTTACTTCACTGTGTTAGTGAAATACTGTCAACAGTGTCCTTTGCTGAGATTATGCTTCCCCAGCATTTTACTTTTTGGTGTGGGAGCTGCTAGAACGCTTGCAGCAGAACTCTGTGAGGCTGAAAGGAGTTCAAATGTTCACTTATGCCTCCATAGATGTTAAGTGACATGCTGTCACTTCAAATGTAACATTTCTCAAAATGAGCAAGGGGAAGTGTTTTAGGCTATTCTGCAGCAAGGACATCTGCCTGCACGAGCCATGCAAGATAGCTAAGGAGTGTTTAAAAACTGAGGTACATTAATTCTGAGTGTATCAATAATGGCGGTATCTTTTCTTTGTTTTTCAGAATTGGTCTGGGAGTCTTATTGTAGCCTCCTTAACTGGTGCTTTTGGGTCGTCTTTTCTTTACGGTTACAATCTGTCGGTGGTGAACGCTCCCGCAGGGGTAAGTGACTGACTAAAGAGGAATTTGAAAGCAGTAGAGGGCAGCCTTGTCCAACTATTGTCTCCTCAGCATCCTGCCTTTATAGTCTTCCTGATTACATAGTAGGAGGGGATTAAATCTCGTATAGTAACGTTGTTTTGCCCAAAACTTTCTTTCTGCTTCCTGCGAGGTTTTCACATAAATTCAGTAACTGTCCGAGAGCTAAATGCTGCTGTTGAGGTGAATGGGTGCACATGCTTTGCTTCTCATTCTCCCAGGTCCAGGCTAAGCATGACTCTTCTTGCACACTTTTATGTGATAAAATATTTTTAATATCAGACTGGTGAGTATTCAGGGGCTGCATGCACATGTTCAGCAACTTCTGTTCACGTCGTCCAATTCCAGAGGGTTGCACAACATTTCATTCCCACAGTACTGATATTATAAATAATGCCTCTGGTTTCCTCTTAAATAATGAGTCTCAGCTTCTGTGTTTTGTTGTGATTTCTTGTTTGGTTCTGAATTCTAAACTTCTTCGTCTATTGGCTGCAACATGTGGGATAGATTTGATGAATAGAGCACTATAAAATCAATATACAAAATTGTGGGGATTTCATTAAAATATCAGTTATTACAAATGGAAATCTGGACACTTTGTTTTTACACTGGCTGTCTAGTGACCCTCAATTCAGTCAAGCACAGCAGGAAGCAATTCAGTGGAGATGCAAACAATAATATTTTGAAAAGTAGCTAGTAAATATTGGGAATTAACTGTGGAAAATCCATCTCAAAACAGTTCCTTTCCAAAGCTAAGCTCCTTCTTTTATGAAAATCTTCTATTAAAATATGTGGCTAGATTTCCACCTAAACAGGTTTTTAATGTTAAAGGTGGATGCAATATTTATGCAAATAACAAAAGAAGCATTTTGTAAAATTTATGTTCTATACGTGGATTTTATTTGGTAAACTGTTGACCCAAAGAAGTAGGAAGCGACTCGGCTTATAGAAATCTTTAATTGCTTGCTTCATAACTTCTGTGAGTTTTCTTCAAGTTTGTGTGATTATATACTGGTTATTCAAGGCTGGATAAACTGGGTGTTACCATGACATGTCCAGTCATCAATTCACCTTGCAGTCATCAGAGGATAAAAACGGCTTAGAAAAAGTCAGAAAGAAGCTGTAATTCTGTGAGCAATAGTATTGATTGTCCTGATGGAAAAATCCTTCCTGCACTGCCTTGGGGCTGTCAACAGAGCAGTGGGAATGAGCCAATTTCTAAACTTTTAAGTACCATTTAAAAATGGACTGTCCTGGTAGTTAGAGCTTTCTGTCAATTTCAATTTCTGTAAGGGAAAGAAAGGATGATGGGATGTGCTCCTTGACAGCACTCAGAAAGTTCTCTTTGATTCATGCAATAGATTACAGTGGTGTGGGTGGGGAGGTTGAAGATGCAACCCTGTGAAAAATGCTAAATTCCAGGTTTTGTGCTTAATGACACTTCCAGGATTGTCTGGTTTTGTTTGAAATCTTTAGTGTGGCTTTTGTGCTGAAACTGGGCACTCTGCTGATGGCTTTGGCCATACCATTACAGGTATGCACAAAGTCTCCCTTGGTGTTCAGTGTTTGAGTGAGAAACTTCATAACTCTCTTATTCATGTTAAGCCATACTTTAGCTAGGGCTATGGAGTAGTCCTATGGCAAGGAAGCTCTGTAGTTCAAGAAGAAAATACCACTCTGTCCTCTGGCCCTCTCTCCAGCTCCAGCACTGCTGTGTGTCATCCATTTCAGGACCACTTCCCTGTCCCTGTCCCTGGAGCTGCAGTGACCAGGTTGAAGGGAAGAGCAACGGCTGAGGTCATAGCCATGGTGGGGAATAGTGAGCCATATCAAAGCTGTGCTTCTTGCAGCACAAGAAAAGGAACCTTTGCCCCATCTCTTTTCTCCTGTGTATGACACAATCAGTCTGCTGCAAGGTGACCCTTTAGGAATACTGATGTGAGATGACTGAGAAACACCAAAGCTGAGCATCTTGTAGCTGTAGCTAAAAGCAGCCTTGTAAGAGGTTATACTGGGAGTGCAGTAATTCCTACAAGTTGTAAGCTGCATTTTTTTTATAAACTTGGTAGGAAGAATAATTTCTCGTGCTGACATTCAGCTTACTGCTGACATTGTCAGATTGTCCTTCTTTCCATAGGATGCAGGGTATCTTCTGCCCCTGTTTACTTCAGTGCAATCTCTCTTGATGCTGAAGTTCTCCAGCCTTAGAGGAGGACTGTATAATCCTTTGAGAAGTAGTGAAAAAATGTCTGATTACAACAGTTGACTACAACACAGAATGTTTCCAGGATCCTCGAACTGGATGTCAGCAGGAGCTGAGGGAGTGAAGGAAATTAATTTAAGACTGAAGTGTTGAAGAACTATATGTAAATTCTTGTGTCCCCTTTTCTTTCAGAGCCACAAATTGTGTCAGCTCATCAAACCACAGGGGAATTCGCCTACAGTTCCCATTGGTGGGCTTTACTTCAGGTCATCTTGTGAGGCAGAATTAGTCTAACTTGCAGATTGTTGCAAGGGGGAAATCAGATGCACATACTCTGTTCAGAGCTGAGATTGCTTCCCACTCAGTTCCCTGTAGTTCTGTGGGAAAGAGCATGGCCCATCACAGGTATGATTCCCTGAGAAACCCAGAAGTACAAGTTTCCATGGGCTTGTTCAAAGAGTCACCAGAATTTATTAAAAACATATGGGAGCATTTGGCAATAGGAAGACAAAAGACTTAATTGAATACAAGATTCTATCTTTTCCTGAGCTGCATTTCTACAGTTTATTTCATGGACTGATTGTGGGCAATGCCTGTGAAACAATGATGTGCTTTGTGCTCTGTGAGGGAAGCAAAGTCACTGCTACTTTCTGCTCTGCAGCCCTTGCCCTCGTCCTGCAGGAGGCTGCAGCTCTGGGTTCCTGTGGCACAAACACACAGCCTGCTGTGACAGCTGCTTCTGCAGTTGTCACTGTGTGTGAATGACCTCTGTAGCTATGGGTAAGACAAGGAAAATATTTGTTTTGGTTTTAAAATATATCCATTAAATTTGTATATATAAAACTTTATATATTCCTTATATTCCTCTTTTCTTTCTCCTCTCAGCACTACTATCATAATGAACTGAGGCAGATGAGAAAATAAGATACTGATATCAGTCAGCCACCATTTTTGTAGGCTTTGTTTACAGGCTAAAATTTTTGTATACAGGTTTATGCTTTTAGTGTTATTGAGACACCTGATCAAAACCCCCAAGGGAGCTTTTACACACAATTTAATGGATTCAAATCCAGTGGATTTGTTATATCGGGTTTGTTTTGTTTTATGTGCATCTTCTGAAAACCTCTGTGTTTTATTAACTTCCTACTTATTGGCAATGGAAGTGCAGAGAGAGGTGCTAGTACATGCCAGAACATCCATCTATCTGTTACTAGTGAGTGTTTTAGTTTGTACTTTCTTTTCTTGAATATTTGCAGTTATTTGATGTCTCCTTGTAAATAACTAAGCTATGCTGAGAAAATTAGTCATAACACAAGGGGAGAGTAATTTACATACTATTTTTAGCCATTATCATTAACAAGAAATGCTAATAGTGTTCTAAAAGTGTTTTCTCTTAGTAATCATTACTACCAGAAATTAATTTTGAATAGACAAGAAGATGTCTGAATCTAAATATAATCTGAGTATTGATGTTAAAGAACTAAGGTGTTACTGCTTTATTTAATGGCAGATTCATTTGGAATCTTATTCTGAGACTTCTAAATTATTCAAGCACCAAAAATTACTTGTCTTTTTTATTTTTATTTTTAAAATGGTTTTAATTTTTTTTCCCCTGTCTGTTTAGAAACATTCAAGATAGGATGGGAGAAATAACCCTGTTCTCTTTTTAATTCAGGGCACAGGAAGTTTACTAGAAATTTGATAGATGGAAGACAAGACATTGTATATTCTATTGTCACCTTTCTTAGGTATTTTGTAGATGGAGAGGTGATGAAAAAAACCCTCAAATAGAATATTTTGTGTGTCCAAGGTCAGACTTTAGGTAAAGTTTGAAATTCCTAGTTTGAACAGGGAAAATGTAATGGCTTATTATGCTGAGAAGAAACTGGGAAGAAGTAATTAAAGATATAAGATTAAACTTTTGATATTGTATAGCTTGAGAGCTTTTCCCAACTGTGCTGTGCCCTTCTGCTGTAGGGACTGCAACTTCCTGGTGCTGTATCCTCACCAGAGCATCAGGCACCACAGTGCAATTCCTTGGTTTTGAAACAGGAGCAGCATAAAAACAAGGAAGCTTGACTAAAGAGAAAATAAAATGGAAATGTCTCTGCAGGCAAACAGAGACTATTAAAACACTGTCCTGGATCTATGACATCTTTGCCTTATAAAAGGTTAAGAACTTAATCTGATTAAACATCAGGGAAGGGAAGTTGTTAGAAGGCATCCTTCAAAATCCTGTCGTTATGCTCATGTGAGGAAAGCAGAGGAAGAATGTAAACTTTGGCATGTTAAAGGCTAAAGGGTGATCTCGTCCTGGACATTCTTGTCTACCTGTGGAGTTTTTTCCCCATCTGGTTTGGTACTGCCTTGCAGTTATAGCTATAAACTGATTCAGTTTGTTTTATTGCAGTTTTATCTATAAATGAGGCCCCATTTTTTGGAGGAGGGAGACAGAAGAGCAAGAGTGATTCCTGCAAGAAAGCTACTGGGGATTTTCTGGGTTTTTAATTCGCTTCTCTCAGTTGTATTCCTAAAATGTTGGGGGTTTTTCCCACATATTTTTATTGTGTGTTTTCTTTCAGTATATCAAGAAGTTTTACAATGAAACTTGGGAGAGGAGATATGGCTTCTCAGTGGATGAAGGCACTCTGACACTCCTCTGGTCCATAACAGTTTCCATTTTTGCCATTGGTGGCCTTGTGGGTGCCATTATTGTAACCCCAATTGTGAAGTTCTTTGGAAGGTAAGTGTTTTTGAAAACTTGCATTTTCTAAAGCAATTTCTCACTTAGTCTCTCTAGAAGGTTTTACTTTTATTAAAAAAAAACCAAAAAACCCCCAAATCTTTAAATTCTGAAAACTTACTGTGCATCATTTGGGTCAAAAAAGCCATTTGCTCTGAATGGGCAGTGGGTTGAGATCTCCAGGAGTGTGACTTGTCAAGTATGCCAAAGGAAAATACATAAAATAAAAATGATTTCACAAAGGACTGGCAGAATCTCATTTCATGAGTTTACTGAGCATCTTACTGTAAAAAAACAAAGATATCAACATATCGCATTTGCTTCTTAACAGCATTTGCTGTTATATAGTAATAAAATTTTACTCTTTTTTCAATCCTTGTGTCAGCTGAAATTGCAGTTTGAAGAACTGGACTTGGATGAAGTTCCTGTATGGCCTTCCCCAAAAAGGGGGTATGGCATCTATTCTGTACAATGCAGTATTTGACCAAGTCTTGACCATAGAGAATATAAGTATTTTAGGAATGTTTGTGTTAGTGTGTGTTTGCATTTTTGCTGCAGGTACTAAATAGATATTTCTGTCAAATTTTTGTGTCATATAGTCTTTCAAATAGAATTTGAAAGGTAATTTATAATTTCTTGATATTTAGAAGGGCATGTAGCATTCATCATAACTGCTCATTTGGATTTTTCTTAATTGTAAATTCAATATTATTTTATATCTTTTAGTCAGTTAAATCACAGGAGAACATTATCATTGAAGCTTAAATATAAGTGTAAACCTCCAGTGTTCTTACCTTCCTGTTTTTCATCTTTATTATTTCCATTAGATTGGACTTTCCTAGGTCTATTTTTCATATCTCATTTTTCATCTCAAAGAGTGTATTTTCAGGTTCTTCCATATCATGCTTACAGCAAGTCAGTATTCTTAGCTGTTACCCATTTTTCATGAATTTATTTTGTCACTTCAGCACTTGGTTTTCAATTTTTAAATATTTTCCATAGTTACATTATTTATTTTTTTAGGTTTTCGATTTCTTCTGCCAAATCATACATTTGGCTTTAACATACTTGTTAGAAATATGGAACCGTGCCTGACTCAGACTGATTAATTCTCAGAAAATTGTTGAGTCTTTATTAAAATAAAGTGAAGTAAAAATGGGTACACAGAAGGTTAGAATTTTCAGCGAAGAGTAGAACAGCTTGTTAAAATTGTTAAATTGTTAAAATTGTTAAAATGGTGGCTGATCTCTGCCGTAGATACACTTCCACTGGAGCTGGTCAGGTTTCCAGGGCAGACCTTTACACTTGCAGGCTCTGCCCCTGTTTGTTGTGTTTATCTCCATTAAGCCATGAAAACAGCTCTGTTACTGATGCAGGGGGTGAGTGATGGAGCAGAAATGGGAAGGGGCTCTGTGAATAAAGGCTGCTCACCAAAGAGTGGATCTTGATTTTGCTGCTCACCCTGCAGAGTGTTTGTCTGGTCTAGGAACCCAGACTGACACGTCATTATGGTAATTGAGGAGCACACAGTGGAATGTTGACAGAACAATAAAATACTTTGCTGTTAAATTGCTCAAGTGTAGGTTGGAGGGTTGTATCTATGATGAAGCTGAGCTCCATTTACACTGACACAGAATAATGAGCTAAGGGGGATTAAAAGCACTAGTCAGAAATAATGTATGACTTTAAAAGAACACTTTTGAATCATATTGCTGTAAGGTTAAAAACATAAATTCCAAATTACTGGATTGCTAGGCCCTATTTACTTCAAGAGACATGTAATTTTTTGAAAGGGAGCCTTCATCCACATAAACATAATTCCCAAGTTCAGATGTGGCTTTGACTCTTTGTAACTTAAATTACCCTCTTGGAATGAAGAGGGTCTGCTGCTGTTTGTCCTGAGCACCCAGACCAAAATGCTCAAGGGATTGTTTAGGTCACTTCTAGGGTCTCCCTGGGAGGAGGGAGAGGCTGAGCATCACACCAGGCTCCTCTCCTTGCTCTTGGTACCACAGCCAGTGGTCACACTCGGTGCCTTGGGTGAGAGAAAGGAGAGTGCAGGGACTCAGGGTCAGTGTGCAGCAGCTCCTCTGTGCCACTCCTTGCTCCTCACTCCCCCTGTGCTCCAGCCTGCGTCCCCATGGACAACAATCCCCCTGGGGATGTCCCTGCCCAGGCCTGGATCACCCTCTCCTCCTGTGACCTTGTAACACTCTTGCTCCATCTCCCCACAGAAGCCACCCCTGCAGCCCCAACACTTCCAAAGCCTTGCCACAGGCACTGCTCTCCATAGTAACATCCTAAATAGAGTGTTTTCTCGTTTCAATTTCCTTTTCATACTGCCAAAGTCTTTGTTTTTATAATGCTTAGTTAGGCTGTGCTTTTCTCTTCTCAGCTGCATAGGATAAAGGTTTGCTGGCCAACTGTTTCTCAAAAAATATGTATTTTATCTTTTTTATTTAAATTAAAGGAGAAAAAAGCAGTATCTTCAGATGAATGTATAATATTTGTTTGACCTGAATGAACATTTTCTTTCCATTTCTGTCATTATTTGTATCACTTCAGCCATCTCAGAGTGTATATCCATCTGAAAAATCTGTTCTAAACAGTTACAGTTATCAGTCTGATGGTTGTGTTGTATAGACTTTAAATGAATTGTATCTCATTTTTCTATCTTCAAGCCATGTTATTCATTCAGTGTTCAAAACTCACTAGAAAGCAGGAAGCAGGATTAAAAATACGAGTGTTAGAAATATTTCCTTTCAAAAACATATGCATCTGTTGTGAGAAGTTGGGCGACTTTTTCAATGGGGGTGAAATTTCCTGTTAATACTTACATATTGACAGTTTGTCACCTGCTCTAAAAAGGAAAAGGATAGACAGCCTTCCTGGTCACTCCTCTTCTTTTTAATTTATCCCTCAAACTTGAGCAGAAAGTTCTGAAAGATGACAAATAAAATGAATTAAGCTGTTGGCAAATGAGAAAATTGGATGTTTTGAAAAATTTAAAATATATTTTTGTGATTTGGTTTGTACTTTTTAACAAAGTAATAATTTGCCAAAAAAGAGTATTCATTTTATTTGAAAAAACCTAATGTTTTATTTAACTGTTATAGAATGAAATCATTTTAAAGTGGGGAAGAAATATGTAGTCTTGTATTTTGATTAATCAAACAATTTTTAGAAAAAAAATTATTACTTGAATGAGCCCAAATGTTTTTCCTAACTCTACAAGTAGGAAGTAATTTTCCTCAATGTACAGTTTTAATGGAGAATTTAAGGATGAATTATAATGACACAGATGATGTCACAGTTGGGAAGTTCTTGAAGTGTCAAAAACTCTATCATTAAAGGGCCTGTAGTTATATCAGCTTATTGCTGTTTGAAGTATATTCTTTGGGTTCTCCACACAGACATCTTTTCAGAGTATGCTTATTGACATTCATGTACAGAGCCTAGGCCTGGCACTTGGGTTTTAGGATGCATAAGTTGACTCCCTGCTGTGCTTTTGAAGTACAGCTCCTTAGTTATCTATGTTATGTTTTCCTTTAAACTGTGGTGTAGGTTTGAAACTGAACCATGTGGGTATAGTGCTGTTTTTCAGAACTCTACACATCTCAGAGGCAGTGATTGTTAGGCACTTTTTACTTATAGATATTTAAGAATAATATCTTAGTGTGCTTCTAATACAACTAGATTTAGCTGCCATGATGCTGGTTTTTACCTAAACCATCTTTGCCTTTTAGGAAATGCACATTGGTGCTCAACAACGTGTTTGCAGTGGCAGCTGCACTGTTGATGTCCCTGTCCTTGCTGGCTGGGTCGTTTGAAATGCTCATACTGGGCCGCATTATCATGGGTGTGGATGCAGGTAAGCTGTCACACTGTGCCCGTCTGAAATGCTTGTGCTGTGCACACACTGTCCCCTCTTCCCCCATTAGAATTTGCTTTACATCAAAGAGGTATTCCAGGGACTAGCAGTAGCCACACTGATTTCACTGGGACAAAATGGCACACTAAGGGCTGGAGGATCTGATGTCTGGAGGAGACACTAATGGATGCTCACCACTGCTAACAACACTGTTGTTTCCCCACCTTTCCTCTTCCAGCTGTGGTAGAGTGTATTTGTTTCCATGCCATGAAAATCACTTGACCAGGAGAGAGTATTCTGCTATTAACACTGTTTTAGCTGTGTTTAGCAGTTGGATCCCATGTTAATACCTGCAGGACTAGGGAAGGTTTGGTACCTCATCAATTGTTCTGGCAATATGTTCTTCCCAGTTTGAAAGTAAACCATGGGGGCACAGCAGCACCAGAATAATCTTGCAGCTAGAAGGAAGGGTTTCTGCTAATTTTTATCCCAGATTACCATCAAGAAACTAAACTTCTGAAGCTATGCAAACTTTGCCATTGTACTGACCAGGGTCATGCATTTGTTTGTTCTGTTCCTGGCTTTAAACAGCCTTCCAATCTTATTTTATGCCTGTTTTAAAGAGTTCTTTGCAGCTATAAGCCTGTATTGAGAGGAACATCTGTTAATACTATTTACAGTAAAAATACTTCATCTGACAATGTCTGCTCTGTCTGACTGATGCACTGGGATTTTTTTCTCTTACCCACACCAGTGCTAACTCGATTTTGCTTGCTTTGGGATGAGCAAATTTAAAACATAAAATCTGTTCTCCTGGAGATTCTCATCTCTGAGTAACCTTTGGTGCTCCACATCAAAAAGCAGCCTACACACATCACTGTAGATCTGTAACAGATAATCAATCCCATAGTGATTAAATGGTGTGAGAGTAATTAGACATGCAGGGAAAATAATTCATGATATGTATGGATAGATACAATTCTGTTCCTTGCATGTTTTTATGCCACCCTTGTGAGCAGATTATCAGTCAGGCTCCTTTCAATAGAAATTTGTTGCATACCTGGCATAATAAATATGTTTTGATTTAAGATATGGGTTTTGTTCTTCTTTTGTAGGCATTTCATTAAGTGCCCTCCCCATGTATTTGAGTGAAATATCTCCTAAGGAAATCCGTGGTTCATTGGGTCAGGTCACAGCAATCTTCATTTGCATTGGTGTTTTCACTGGTCAAGTTTTGGGGCTGCCAGAAATATTTGGGCAAGTAAGTTTTTAACAAACCTTTTCTATCAAAGAACACAAGCATGCTCTAAGTGTCGTATTTTCATATTTTGACTGGATTCTTCACAAAAGTGGAAAACAGAAATATTTATTCTGTGTTTTGAAGCACTTTGAAAAGCCGTTTCCTCCATGTCTTCTACAAGTACATACTAAAAGCATGGCTAAGTTTGGTAGATGTAGCCAGCAGGTTCAACAGCTTGAGTGGCTTGTGTGTGTCCATATGCAGATGTCCTTCTCCCCCTCTTGATGTACATCTTTTTTGCTGGTTTCCAGTTTCTTTGGACATCATAGAAATGCTTAAGAGTTTTTATATTTTTGATCTGTAATTTTTCAATGTGAGATAGAGTTGAAAAAGGCTTGATTAGAGTTATGATGACAACCTGAATAGGAAGACTCTTGCTTAGTGATTATAGTGTTCCTTTTAATGCAATCCTTACTTGCCCAGCTTTTAGACTAACTGATAGAAGAGCAGAGTTAACACACACCTTTATGGAAAGATTATTTATTCACATAAGAGGTTGTCTTGCTGTCATAGGCTGAGATTAACTTGGTGGCCACTGGATGTCATCATCACTCTGAATAAATGAACTCGAGTTTTGTTCAGGCTGGAAATTGAAAATACAGAGTCACACAATGGGTAAGGTTGGAAGGAACCACACTGGCCATCTGAGCTGACCAGGTGCTTTCCTTTCAGAGATGATTCTTCAAGACAGTGTGGAGGAAAGGTCTGCAATCCTCTCACAGTAAAACTTGAACAGAGGATCCCTTCTGTTCAGCCAGAAATAGTAGTAAGGAGTTGGAAAATGAGAGGAGCTTTTCCTTCTCTGTCCACCCAAAGGCAACTCCTTTGTAAATACATGATACCAACCTCCCTAACGCTTTTATTTTTGCCTGACCAGCTTTATTCTGTTCCTTTATTCTGTTCAGCTCTCCTGAAGGCAAATAATTTGATTCAATTTACCCTTTATTGAAGGACAGATTTCTCCCCTGCCCATCCAAAGCAACAGATTTTAGGAAAAAAACTTAAAATGGCTCTTATTGTGTGGCTTCAACAGATGTCCCTTCTCTTACCTTTGAATCAAGTCTATTACAAACAAGTGTATGAAACATCAAGAGGCCAATTTGATTCCTTAGAGTATGGCAGCCCTTATGCAGCAGGAGTTTTTTTTAATTTGGGATTTTGAAGCATGCATGCACTTTTAAAGATGAGGTGTCACGCAAATTCTTATTCCTTGATTTCAGCTCATTATTGCTGGTTTTATTTGTCTTCTTGGCTTCCTTTCATCACTGTTGTTGCTGCTACCACATTATGGAGGTAGTGTTTCTTCTTCTACAACCTGCTTTAGTGTGAAGTTAATTAACCTAGCACCATTAAAGACAAAACATTATGTAAGAAAAAATGCTTTATCTACAGAATTAGTTTTCTCAAGATGGGTAATATCAGCACGTAAAAGAAGCAAAGTTTTTCCTGATGTGGATCACAATATTTCCAGCCAATTTATTGGAGGCAGCTTGAATATTCTAGTTGGGTATGTGGGTGGGTTTTTTTTCTTTTAATTTCTCTTGGTTTGAGTCAAGCCAGGAATTTTTTTCCCATTGGGTTTGTGGGGCTCCCATTGAAACTCTTTCAGTGGGAGGTAGTTTTTATTTTGCTGCACTGTAGTTGTTTATTTCTTATCAGAATTTGTTTTAAATAATACCACTTCCAAATACTTGTCTTCTTTCATGGTTTCATAAGGTTTCTGCTGAGATCTGTTATGTGTCTGTTACTTGGAATGCAAGCAAATATCTAAGAGGTTGTTAACCATTGATCTGAGCATTGATGGTTTTGAAGAAAGGAGGGACACAAACAGAAATTACTATCTTGCTTGGAAGAGACTCTTTGAAAAAGGGATGGATATAAGAATGGCTGTCAGCATGACTGAGTTCCTTCTTGTAAGAGGAGGTAACAGCAATATTGCTTGTGTGGTCAAGTAAGCAGAGGGAAGGGACAGGAACTGACTGCACCTTGTTAACACAAGAAAGAAGGAATAGAGTGACTTAGTCTCAAAGATAATATGGCTACAAAGAATGATATTTTTATAAATATTGTGTGAATAATTGCATGCTGAAATTCATCAGAGTGATGTTTGGAACAGACTCCCAGCTAAAGTAACTTGAGCAGAAAATTAAAATTTTAAATTGGAGCTTGATGTGTTTATGTGGATTATGTGAGGTTGTTGCCTTAAGTGGTTCTGTAGACTTCTCTCTGCAGAAAAGGAAAGTGTTTATGTTGGCTGTGGGGCACAGTGTTAACAAGCACTTATTAACAACCTAAGTGATGATTTCCCCTGTTATCAAATGCAAAAGTGTTTCTTTAAATGTGAAATTGTTTAGAGCTATTGATAAAAATAGCTCTAAAGCAATGAGTATCACTTGAGGCAATTCAAAAGTTCTTACTGCTTTTTGTATCAAGTATGTTAAGGAGTCCTAAACTGATTTTTCAGCAATCTTTCTTTTGTCAAGATTGGCCAAGGTGCAGCAAGAGGCATGTGGGCAGCCCCAGGTGCAGAGCTGAGGGGCACTGGTCAGCTCTGGCTGGGTTACTGGCTTAAGGCTGGTTGGCTGTTTCCTATTCCTTCAGCTTTCCCAAGCTTTCTACTGGAAGTGCTGAGGATTGACAATCTTCTCATTTCCTTCTAATATCTTTTCATGCCAGTTCTGTCAATTTATTCTCATTATTCTTTTCATCAAGTGTTATTTATTCCTTAGTACCTTTCTGTTTCTTTTTTTTTTTTACCACTTTCTACAATGTGTTTCCTCTCTCCTCCCTCTGTCACTTGTGATCTTTGTTTCAGATTAAATTTCACCTCCTCTAGTAACACAATCTCTTTAATCTCTTTCTCACCCTGTAAACTGTTGTCCCCAATAGTTCCTGGTTTAAATTAGAACCTAGAAGAACAAGATTATACAGGTAACCCAAATGAAATAATATTTTAGAAAAACAGAATTATATTAAACATTTCTTAGTTTTCCTGGGAATATTTTGTCTGAAGTATCGTAGAAATGCATTTAATTCTTTTCTGTGTCCTGCCATATTGACATGAACTAGACAAATATGACTGTGTCCAATTTTAAAATTATAGTATAAAAGAGAAAATGGATCAAAAAATTTACAATCTAGTAAAGATTTCAACACCTAAATACAGGCAATTTTTTTAATTCTGGATATATATAATTTTATTGTATTTGCCTCCAAAGGTACTAATTTTAGAATATGTTTCTTCAGTATGCAGTGTTTACCAAGAATGATTATGTGAGAAAAGTTCCAGTTGTGATAACAATCCTCTGCTGCAGTGACTTGATAATCTTGCTTTCCACAATGCCAATTGCTTCCCATCCAACAAATCACAGCTGTGCTTTTTATTCAAGATTCTGATTCTTATAGGTCTGGGAAATTCCTGAGGTTTGGGTAATTCCTCCATGGTAAAGCGGGATGGTGACCAGAGTACAGAGCACGAGCACTTCATGTGCTGGTGGCTTGCTTCTCCCCACCACCCCAGCTGCTGAGAGCTGTGCTTATTTTCATGTGCTGGCATCTTGTGTTCTGTAAGGCAGAGTCCTTAATTCTTCAGGAAGCCATGGCATCTGTAGGTGATAACTTGGTGCAGGCCCACAGGAGTGCAATGATGTTATCTGCTGTAATGTGGGCACTGAATTATTGCTGCTGGCTACACAATTATTTAATTCAGGCCATTTTTGGCCGTACAGCATGTGCAGCTTTCCATATATCTGACTGAAGGGGAAAAAAAAGAGATAATAAGATAAGGACAAATGATCTTAGACCTGTCACTTCTTCAAACACTGCCCTTCAGGTATTTCTGTTCTCTCTGTTTCTGTGATTCTGCAATTGAATCACCCATCCTATTTTTCCTGACAGATTGCTCTTACAAAGCAAAGGCCAACGCACTGTCAACTTCAGTTTTGAAAGTTCAAATTTACACTTGCTGTCTTGGGGAAATATTGTCTGGCCTGATTCTGACATATTCCATGTAACTTTAGGTATCACTCCAGCTAACTCATCTAGTTCCTCCTGCAGGGAACGTCCTGCTCCACAGGTTTTCCTTAGCATGGTAACATCTTCCAGACGTTGTAAACTATCAGACTGTCTATTCTATGTCTTCATGTTGTTTAATGAAGGTGGGCTTTAACTTCCCCCTAAATTATAGAGGATTTAGTTTCTGAATACATTTGCAGTACCCCAAGTGTTCTTATTTTCAATATACATTGACTTTCAGGATCTCTTGTATCTGGGTATCAATATCAGAGAGAATAAACTGTTTCACAGTGGGTGTATTTATTCAGGACAGGTAAAGCTGAAACAGCTGCCTTTGCCATGCCTTCCTCAGACCTCGGATAGAATCGTTTTTTCTGTTTACTTCAGCAATCCTACTTTTAAAACAGCTTTGAGCCCCTTTTCCTGTGCCTGGTGTGTCAGGCTTTGCCAAGCTGCTGCTGTTTTCCCTGGAGTTGGCCCCAGCGGCTGCCCAGCTCTGGCTGCTTCTCTGACTGAGCAGCTGCTTCCCATTGCTACACCAATGGACAAATAGAATCTTTTTTTCTGTTTACTTCAGCAATCCTACTTTTAAAACTTCAAGTGTTTCTAGGTCCTGCACCCAGGAGCTTGCCTAACTACATTGTTTCCTAGTGGATAGTATGTTACCCTAAAAACTTTGCTGCATCCTAAGACCCACCAGGGGAGCACTTCCTGAATGAATCCTATTGCTGGGTTAGTGTTTCAAGGGAAAAAAAAAAAAAAAAAAAAAAAAAAAAAGGTAACGTTCCTGGATGTGTTCATCTCTTCATTCGGATTTGGAAAGTGGCTTCTTGAGGAGAAAAATCGGGGTTAAACAGCTCTTGTGGGTAACCCCATGCTGGGGAAACACTCAAAGCATGAGTGCATAGAAACAAAGTGTACCAGAGAAGGTTTAGAATTTATTCTGA